GGCTATTTAGAAGTTATCACATCAATAAGGGGCTAACGATGATAGAAAGGCATTCAACCTTAATTAAGGCTATCACGATTAGAAAAAGAAATCACTTATATTTATAATCAACATACACTATCATATAGCACATTCACATGCAAACCATGTTAAGAGAGATTAGTCATAGCTAACATGGTTATAAAACAACACGAACCTAATTGATAAATTATAATAGTAGTTTAGATTTGATTATTTCAATCCATACTAACAATGACTAAACTCACAGAAATTACCATTATCAAATCATGGATCGACAAATAAATCCTAAGGGCCTTAGGCCTACTACCAGTACTTTAAGCTAGTATCCAGACAAAATAAACCAAAGATAGAAGATGTAATACATTAATCAAGACAAACAACAAAAGAATATGAGAAGGTAAAATAAGATCCAAATAAATGCAGTCCTGAGGCATGGCAATATACAAAAAGATTGCGTACAATAAGGTTCAGAAGCTCTACACTATCAGCTATAACTGTTGAGCCTCAGGAGTCTTCTCCAAAGGTCCTGCTAACATATTGTTTCCTGAAAATAGTAAAACAACGGGAGTGAGACAACGTCTCAGTAGCTAAATCCCTACCTATCATACACCCTAGCATGGGCTAGCGAGGTGTCAGGTAAGATATGTAGAGTTAATAATAGTCAATAGATATTAATTTAACATTTAAACTCATAATAACCATATAAGTCAAATATTTTTGCCAATCTCACGCAGCAGAAATTTCAAAAGAGATAACATACTTTTTATTTATTTAAAAGATATAAATATCAATTAAGATCCCATATGATATGCAATTCCTGAACCCAAATCTATCCTTATATTCTTCTTATTTTTGCCAACTGGACCTATAGGTTAAGTTCTTTTCATTTGACTAGCTACTCTGACAAGCTCACCACACGAGTAATATGGACTAGTCAAAGACCACAGAGCACTCGGTGGACCATGGGTCCCTCCTAAAAAAACTAGTAGGGTGTCACAGTCACTCGAAGAACTAGTGGGATAATAATAGTGGCCAACCATAGAGCTCCGTATGGAGGCCAATACCATATGGCAAGTATATAAATCTCCGTAACTCCAATTATCTCCTTCCCCAATCCAAACTAGATGCACAGGGTTCACAGCAACACATTTATATGCGTAATTAACCAAATTCCAGAATAATACCTCAAAGTCATAATTATTAATTTCTATTAACACAAACGATTTCAACCTTTTTCAAAATAGCATCTCACAAGATAGTTCATATAAAACATAATATACCTATACAAAAATTGGTTATAAAACCATTCACCAACCTTCTATTAGAGCATGCAACAAATAAAAGTTTAGTTACCTGATCTCCTAGCTAATAGTCAAATACAACCAAAGTCCAGCCTCAAAATGCCACAATAGGTTTTATATTTACAAACAAAATTAAAATGTTATCTCTATAATATTAGAGTAGGCTACTCACAAAATCCTAGTCTCTAACTCCTCCTCGAAAAGCTTCAACTTTTACTCAGAATTCTAGCTCAAAAGGCCTTTTTCTAAGGTTTGGAATGAGAACATATATATATGATTTAGACTCAATTCCTAAATTTTTCCTTGCTTAAATATCCTTTAATTATAAGGTTATATCATTAGAATCATCAAATTCATAAAATGGATAGAAAAATCCCAATTTATAACTTATGTTCTATTTTCAAGGGATTTAGATAAATAAATTTAATATAAGCTAGGTTGTTCTCACTACAGAAGTTAAACCATTGATCTGACCGTTGAATTTAATTTCCTATCTATCATGATACTATTCTCCAAATTATGGCTCAATCTAACAGTGAACAAACTTAAAAATGCTAATTTACTATTCATGACTTTATTTACCAAATCTAAAAAACTAAGTTGAAAACATACATAATAACTTATAACTCAAAGATCGAACTCATGATCCAATCATTCAAATTAACGATTTGTATGTCTCAAATAGATTGACCAAATTTTAGTCCGATTCAACAGTTAACAAATTTAAAACTAGCACTCATTCAAGATTATCTCAAATATGTGCGAAAATATTTTACTCACTCTAAACTCCACCTATCACCTCCTATATATAGGCTTCTCAAACTCCTTCACTCTAGTAATTAGTCGATGTGAGACTTCTATACCATGCTATACTTTTCTATAATATCACCCACACACACACACACAAACATGATTAAAAAATAGTAATAATTTGCAATTATTATTAACTTAATACTAAAATAAATTTATTTATAAATTTAATTAAATTCTAGATATAAAAATAAAGATGTTGCAGTATCTTTCTCACTTGATCCTCTTGACTCTATTTTTTTGCCGAGAGCATTCAAATGATTAATAAGGTGTGAGAACCTTACTTCCATATCTCAAATGCTTTCTTCGTCTTTCATTTTGAACAACTTAAATTCTGTGGTGAGGTTTTTTATTTTGCTTTGCTTCACCCCAATTGTTTCTTTGTGAGCTATCTCAAGAGCTTTCCACATTTCTTTTGCTGTTTTCAGGCTTGAAGCTCGAAAGTATTCTTTCTAACTTAAGGCACAAGTCAGCATATTAATCACCTTGTCATTCAGCAAAATAAGCCTTTTATCCTCATCGTCAAATTCGCTTGGATCCTTAGGGACCTGTTGATTATTCACTGTCTTCTTGGGAACATAATTGTCTCCTCTATTACGTCCCATAATCTGTATCTCAAAGCCTTGATGAAGATTTTCATTCTCATCTTCCAAAAGGTGAAATTTTCTCTGTTGAAACCTGGTGGTTTTGTCATAGAGCATCCTTCAGGCAGCACGCTATCACCAAATCCTGCCATTAGGATCTCTCTTGAGACGGTTAGGTCTTATTCAAAGAGACTTATTCTGATATCAAATATTAGTGTAGCAGTTTCACCCAAAAGGGAGTGAATTGGATGATAAAAAAAATGTGCTTAAAAAAATTAACTAAATCACGAAAAGTAGATAAGTTTAGCGAGATTTTTCCGGAGGAGAGTTAGAGAAGAAAAACTTGCAAAACTTTATACTAGTTCGGTCTCAACTGCTTGACCTACATCTAGTTCTCATAGCAACTCTAAGTATCTTCACTAAACTCCAAGATTCAATGGGCTCTTAGCGCCATAATACAGTAGTTGAGCTTTCTCAATCAATCCCCCTCACTTCCTGTAAGGATACAATCCCCTCAAGAGTCCCACACTCTTATGTCACTCGCTAATTGAGTAAAAGAATTTACAGACTCTCTTTAAGAGTATATACAATGAACACTGACGCTTAGAGTTAAGAAACAGAGTATTGAATGTAGGAATTAATTTGAAAGATGGTAGCTCAAGTTCATTCACGGCTTCATTCAATCTTCTTTGCGTTTTATACTTAGAGAATCTCAATTATCCGTTAGACATGAGAGCTTGTATCCGTTAAAGTAGCATTTGCGTAGGTTGGTTGTTGTAACAGTTGTTTCGTACTTAATGCATTTTTGACAAGTAGCTTAAGCCTACAATAGTTTTCCGTTAAGCCTCGTAACCTGTAGAAATATCTCTGTAATAAATGTAGTAAGTTACTTCATCATAGAATGCAAATAATTAAATGTAGAAATGATCAACCTTAGAATTTATCTTAAGAATTGAAATTCACATATCAAAGAGCAGAGAAACACAGAAATAATTCTCCAAAGATCTCATCGATAAATAGCCTAATTAATAAGGTTATTGATTAATTGGAAATGTGAAAATTTGAAAACAAGACTTATTTATCGAAGTCATTATCGATCAAGGTGTTTGTGGAAAAAGTTATCGATTAAGAGTGAAAGATAAAACAAAGTAATTTATCATGAGGCTTCTTCAACAGTTAAGTGAAAAGATTTATTACTTAAATCCCATCTGAATCAGGGCCCATTTTGCTTTGAATAAAAATATAAGATGAAGAATTCGACTGAGAAAAGCTTAAAGATGGAATAATATCATATTCTCTAAAAATATCATGAAAAACAATTTCAAACGAAATAACTGAACCTTGTAGAGGACATTATTGATAACTTACTTTATCAAAAAGCTTATCAATAATTGAAGTAAATTTTTGAATATACTTTAAATGATTTTATCTAAAAAGTTATCAATAATTACGTTTATCGAAAAGTTTTTAGAAAAGATTCTTAAAAAGATTAGACAGAGATGATGAAAGACAAAAAAACATAACTATTTTTGATAAGGTGTTTGATAAATGTACTAATCGATGAAGTTATTGATAGACGTATTTATCGATAAGTTTATCGATAAATTTCACTACTGAACATCTAACTTATAAAAACATGGATAGTTTTATCGAACATCCTTTTGAACAACATAAGTAAGTGAGTAAAACTCTAGAAGAACAATGTTTACTCAATGTTCAATCATGTTATCGAGAATCACAGAATTCGATAAACGCATTGATAAGCCAATGCACAATAATAGTTTGTCATGTAGAGAAGACTTACCCATTTAACAATAAAGGTATGCAGAGAAACTTAACTATTTATCCAAAAAATGATCAAAAACCTCATTTATTGATAAAGTCATCTATAAACATTTAACAGTAAAGTCATCAAAACCTTAAGTCTAACAAGGGAGACGAGTCGAGGAGGGAAAATCGAAACGAAAACAATCACTTGCCATCCTTGCCGTAGCTCATTCACTTATAGTCACCTTCCTTCACTCACTTGCCACCGCCTTCCTTATCGTTTACCTAAGAAAGGAAGAGGAAGACGAGTTGGAGAGTGAAAAAAAATGAAGTTAAAGCATGTGGGCAAAGGATTTAAAAAGCCAAAAAAATATTTTCATCTTTTAACTAATATTTCATAATTCCTATTTAGGGCTAGGTCACTGATAAAAATCATACAAATTCAAAAGCCCAAATCGTAATTTTGCATATTTCAATATCTTTATCTGCGAATTTTTCTTATCCGGCCTTGAAAAAGTTCCTTGAAGAAAAACCCTTTTCAAATTTCATCTCCAAATGTAACGATTTCTAGGATGAAGTCCATGCGCAAGTTGAAATTTGCAGTCTTATTTTCTCATCTCCCCAAAATTGAAATCACTCCTTCCATTTCATGGGCTTCTGACTCTGTCTTTTGCAGTCACCCAGTTCGAATACTTAATCCTCTTCACCTAATTTCAACATCTCTTTCCCTCAGTAACTTCAATTGTTTATCTCAAAATCGAAGGATGCAAATGGAGGCGTTTTCTTCTCCGGCGGGTGAGATTCACGCGATAGTTGGTCCAATGCTCTCAGTTAAAAGAATTCAGTTAGAGAATAATAACATCAGGTAAACACATGAGTTGGCTGCCTTTATATTTTATTTTTGTGATTGTGTTGGCTTGCATTCTCTTTGCTGATCTTGAGTAATGCTTGTATTCACGCAAGTAGGAGATTTATTATAAGCAAGCAAAATTGCTCTTTTTTTCCTTGGAAGTTCATGGTTACTATTTAATAAATGGATTTTCCAACGTATTTGCCGAAAATAGATGCCAATTTTCAGAATTGCAAAATTACTGACGGTTCAAAAGCGTGATATCTAAATCTGTCTTGTAATTGTGGCCGAAGAGAAAAAATCTGTATTGTGATTTACTGTTTGAGTTGGAAAACTACTGCTTTGGCCATGTTTATGATCATCACTCGGTGGATGTTACCAGTTTTCAGGTGAAGCCTCGCAAAGGCGGCCCCAACTTGGATAAAGTTTTAAAAGGTCTATGTATATCTGGCAGGTTGGCAGAAGCTATTGGGCTTTTGTGTCGTACAGGATTAGCAGTGCACTCAAGGACATATTCTCTTCTGTTACAGGAAAGCATATTGAGGAAAGAATACAAGAAAGCCAGAAGAATCCATGCACAAATGATTGTAGTTGGATATGTTCCCAATGAATACTTAAAGACCAAATTGTTAATATTATATGCCAAATCAGGATACCTAGAAACCGCACGTACTCTGTTTAATAATTTGGCAGAGAAGGGCTTAGTTTCATGGAATGCAATCATTGCTGGGTACATCCAAAAGGGCCTTGAAGAAGTGGGGTTGGATTTTTTCTATTTGATGAGACAGTCTGGCTTAAGACCAGATCAGTATACCTTTGCATCAGTTTATAGAGCATGTGCAACCTTGGCTTCGCTGGAACCTGGGAAGCAAGCCCATGGTGTGATGATCAAGTGTCAAATTAAGGACAATGTAGTTGTCAACAGTGCCCTTATTGACATGTATTTTAAATGCAGTAGCATCCATGATGGGCAGCTACTATTTGATAAATGTTTAAGCAGAAATACCATTACTTGGACTGCTCTAATATCTGGTTATGGTCAGCATGGAAGCGTTGTGGAAGTTATAAAATCTTTTCATAAAATGATATCAGAAGGTTTTAGACCAAATTATGTTACTTTCCTTGCTGTTTTGTCTGCTTGTAGCCATGGTGGGTTGATTGATGAGGGATGGAAATATTTTCTGTCAATGACAAGAGAGTATGAAATTCCGCCACGGAGCCAGCATTATGCAACAATGGTTGACCTTTTAGGGCGTGCTGGCAAGTTAAAGGAGGCTTATGAGTTTGTCCTGAATTCACCTTTTAAAGAACACGCAGCAGTATGGGGTGCTCTGATTGGGGCTTGTAAGATTCATGGAGACAGGGGCTTGTTAAAGGTTGCATCCAAGAAATTCTTTGAATTAGAACCTGCAAATGCTGGAAAACATGTTGTCTTGGCAAATGCATATGCCAACTCTGGGCTGTGGGACAATGTTGAGGAGGTTTGGACCCTGATGAGGAAATCAGGGATGGTAAAGGAGCCTGGTTATAGCAGGATAGAGGTACAGCGAGAGGTTTTTCTTGTTCTATAAGGGTGATACATCTCACCATAAATCTGATGAGATTTACAAACTGAGTAAAGAGATGAGGTGCATCCCAGTGGATGCAGAATATATGCCTGATATATGCGGAACCTAGTGCATATGCATTATCAAAGAATCTTGGAGATAAAGAGCTTGCTGTTGCTAGCTTTTCTTATCTTGATATCTGTAATTTGGATTGCCCATAAAAGTTCAGGTATGGTGCTTTAGGAATTTAAACAAAACTATTAATTGCATATAAAGTTCCTTTAGTTGCAAATTGAAAATTCCAAGTGAAACAGTGAATTCTGAAACATTTAGGAGCCTTCATATTGTTGTTTATAACATAGGAATAATGTTCTTTTACAGTGGGTGCAAATGGCAAGTTTATTTTGGAGATTGGTTGTCGGAGGTATCTAATATGTGACATGTGAAAAAGGAAATCATACATCAATTAGTATAATTTGGGTATATTGCCCCCAGCCTTGTTGTAGCCTTTTTGGTATTTATTGGAGATCCATTATCAATCACTCTGTATTCTCTTATGTACAAATTCTCACCAGATAGAGATCTATATTCCTTTCTTGCTAGCTGACTGCTAACAGCTCAGTGTTCAATTGGTTGTGTCCCATTTTACTCTGTAATTTATGCGATTTTAGTTGCTGTGCTATATCTTCAGAAGCCATTGCGTGGTCAGTTTAAGTTTTTGAAGCATATTGGTTTCTCTTTGGAGTCTTCGTTGAATCAGAAATCATGTTCAAGCCGGTTCCTGGAACCTTGCCTTCTAAAGCTAACAGATATCTTTTTGTCTGCAGTGATTCCCATGGAATTTTGTATCTTCTAATATATGTTGATGACCTTTTGATGATCACTGGCCCATATGGAACCACTGTCATTCAGTTGACTGATTACGTGAATGGCCTGTTTTCCTTGAACGTACTGGGTGAACTTTCCTATTTTCTTGGCATTGAGTTCATTCAGACATGTGCTGAAATGTTCTTGCTCAGTGAAAATATGTACGAGTTGCTTGTTGACACTAGAATGATTGCAGTTAATGCTGCTTGTACTCCCATGGTTGCTAACTTGCAAGTTAGGACGTCAGATGGAGATTTATTTCGTGATCCAAGACACTCTCACAACATCTTAGGTAAATTGCAATATCTCTGCTACACTCACCCAAATTTGCCTTCTTCGTCTACCACCTTGGCTAATACCTTCATCAACGTCGCTTTCCACATGGGAGGTTTGTCAGGGAGTTATCTGTTACCGTGGCAGTTCCATTAAGGGACTCCTATGGAAGAATCATTCTTCACTGCCACTAGCATTCCTTTCCAAGTGTTTGCGAGCCTCACTTTGCTGGATTCACAACTCTAACCTACTTAATGCAGAATCTAAGTCACCAATTACTGTTCATTATGTTCAGAAGTTCTTCATCCATATTCCTATTGCTCCTACTCAGACATCTTCCATAACTTGGCAGGAGATTTTATCTTTGCTACATGATTTTTCTCATACTTCTATATCAGTAGTGTCATTGTCCTCTTAAGTTTTTTCGCAATTCTACTTGTTCTTTATCTTACTGTACTTGGTAAATCTCTCATTTTCTTAATATCATTTTGTCTTACTCCCAAAAAAAAAAAAAAAAGATGCCTGCTGCATTATCTTGCAGGAACGGCTCACTATGGCCTTCTTCTAAAGCCTGCTTCCCAGCTGCAAGTTCAATCTTTTGGAGATGCTAACTGGGGTACAAACAGAGAAGATCATGATTCAGTCGGAGGTTTTTGCATGTTTTTTGGACCTAACCCCATCACTTGGATCTCTTGCAAGCAACAGGTCATGTCTAGGTCCACTGAGGCTGAATATAGAAATTTTGAATATGTTGTTACTGAAGTTATGTGGGTTATTGCTCTGCTTAAGGAGATGTTTGTCTCTGCAGTTTGTCCTCCTCTCATGTGGTGTGACAAACACAGAACTGTTGCTCTCACTGTCAATCCTTTACTCCGTGGTAAAACCAAACACGTTGAACTTGACCTACATTTTGTCCGTGAAAAAGTTGCAGCTGGTCTGATTCAGATTGGGTATATACCAGCTACAGAGCAGGTTGCAAATATCCTCTTGTCGCGATTATTTGATCACTTCAGATCTCGACTGAATGCCATGGAAAAGGAAGAAACTGTCCAGTGTCTGGTTTCCTGATATATGAATTGCCATTTTCTGTTTTCACGGAAAAGATTAGTAGAAGGAATACTAAAAGTACTATATAGTTATAACTTAGGCTGTTACAATCACGGACACTTGTCCGCTATTGTGTCCTATACTCCTTTATATTGTATTCTTGCTCATCTGAAATAAACTGAGAGTACTGTGAATATATCTTAGAATGAGTTCTCTAGCATCCATACCAATCTCTTGGAGGATTATTAGAGACAGGGAAATTACTGCTATGTCAGTGGAGTAGAAGTGACCAGGTTAGGCTAGACAAAAAATTGCTGATTGGGCTGGCCATATGGTCAGGTTGGCTTGGCCCATGTTTTTCATGCTAGCCTTTTAAGAACATTTCCCTTATAAGCAGTCATATGAATTTTTGTAAGGGGTGAAATAAAATTTCTGAGGTGCTTATGATAATTTTTATTTTTTTCTTAGGTCTTTTTATAACTTCTAAGAAAAATATGTATAGAAAATGAAGTCTATTGCAAAATTGGATCAGGCATCAGATTAAACCAATATAGGGTCAAACCGAGTTTTTTGTACCCCTACAATGGAAGGGTGAGGTTGTCTTTCTGCAGTAATTATGTATAAGAGATGTTGGTGTCTTTCTATCATAGGCCAACAGATGATATTCATGGTCATTGCATGATTAATGGGATAGATTAAATTTGCAATGGAAGTCAGTGATAATAAGCAAGTGATAGTGGATCACCAAACCTTGTAACTGGAACAACCTTGACCTGTCCACTGAAAGATAATATTTTTATAAGCAAAACAACCACTTGATGTGAACTTTGTGGCAAATGTGCATTGTTTACTTTGAGGAAGATGCAGGAGACACAGATGGAGCTGATAGTTATCAGTGGCACGGTCGCTTGAGCAGCAAGATATGTCCTGGAATCTCATAAGGTTTTTCCATAGTTCCTCTTATCTTAACACATGCATATCAAATTTCCTTCTAGTTGTTATCTACAAGGTGTTTTAGTGGCGCTCTGTCATTATCTTGATGAATGATCTGCCAAATGCGAGCAGAATTCTTTTTCCAACCTAAATATGTTGTTTTATTTTGGCTTTGAAGCAACGTGAAGGAGCATTTTTCTTTCTTTTGAGCTTCATAAGGAAAATTTGACACTATCTAAAGTCATAGCTGAAAAGCCGGAAAAGGAGGGATTGAGGAGGGGTTTAGTAATTCAATCCGGTGGACCTCGAGGCCTTGAGGCAAGCAACTAAAAGTAATGGAAGGGTATCTGCCAAATTGAATAATTTTCTTTTATACAAGTAACCCAAAAGAATGAGATTTTGCATGACACCCGCTTTCTTTCTACACTTATTTTCTGATATTTTTCTCTCTTTTTTTTTAATTGCATCATACATAATTATCTCTTTGAATGTCTTGGATTGGTTGCCTAGGCTCCTTTCTGAGCAGTTCTGACGAAAATTGATCATGGAGGCCTGATCCTTGCCGGTTAAAAGGAGTAGTAAATTACTAAATTATGCCCTTGGGGGGTATTGAGTATTGTCAATTCGAGAGATAGACCCCCAAAAAAATGACGTTTTCTAATAGCCATGCCTGGCTGTGGAAGAGAATTTCTTATGCAATGTATATTATGTTCGGTTAATCATTATTCAATAATGCTGTTAATTAACTAATATGAGTAGATAAAAAATATTAGTTAAATTAATTAATATATATCTTTTTAAAACATCCTGATCATCTTTCTTAGTTTCCTTCTTTTCTCTTCTACTTAATTATTATTGAGATAATATTAATAGGATTAATTTTAAAAAAATTGATAAATATGTAAAATAGGTCTTAGATATAAGACCAATGTCAACTCTTAAATTAGATTCTATTTGTTTCTTATTTTTGTTTTTAATCTTGAGAATACATTACGATTCATTCTAAACCAAAAAAAAAATTGTCATTTCTATTTCGATGTATCAGCAGAGTACAAAAAATCTGACCAGACAAGCTAGTTCAAGTCGAAAAATAGAGAACCGGACCTTGGTCCGGTCTGGTTCAGTGGGTAAACCAGCTCTTAATCAACCCGTAATAAATCGAGATAAACAAGTTAAAATAAAAAAAAAACCAGACAGCCTGCTGGGTTAGGTGGGTTGCTAATTGTTTACCTAGTCTCTTTCTCTCCCTTGCTGCTCCCTAGAGAAGCCTGTGCTCTGCTCATGGAAGACTGAAGACAGGAAGGCAAGGAGAAGGGGGGAGAGAGAGAGAGATGGATGAGCCGATGAGACGTAGAGAGAAGTGAGGAAGAAAGAGAAATGAAAAGGCTTAGGAGGTGTTTAACAAACCTTGGAAAAATATTTTTGGAACCCAAACCAAAGTTTAGTCCCAAAAATATCTAAACACTTTATTTTTTTGAAACCATAGTTTGCTCATCAAAACCATAGTTTTGTCATAAGTGAAATTTTGTTGCTTTTACAAATATGGACGTTGTCAACGAAATGAGCTGTCATCTTCACACCTTCACATTTCTCCTTCATTCTCCTACCTGATTCTTTTTTTTGTTGAAATTTTTTTCCATTTTTCTAAAAACATATTTAATCTTATATTTTATAAATATATATACACATATTAACAATTAATTAATATATTTTTTATACATTATTTATTAGGTTGGCAAAAAAAATATTAACAAATTTATTATTTCGGTCCTTAATATAGGACCTAATTGGCGTTCTCTCAACAATAATCAAGTAAGTGAAGAAAAAAAGAAATTAAAAAAGATATTTAGGGTGTTTTAAAAAAATATCATATTAACTAATTTAACTAACATTCTTAATCTACTCAAATTAATTAATTAAATCTTACATTAAGGACAGTAGAAGAGCTTCAAATAAAAATAGAAATTAAAATATATTTTTTATGTAATTATCATGTTAACTTATGTCTTTTTTAGTAATTTATACCTAAAAAAATTATATTATCCAAACATATTTAATCTTATATTTTATAAATACATATACACATATTAATTATTTATTAATTACATTATCTTGTATATTATTAATTATGTTGGTAAAAAATATATTATTAACAATTTTATTTCTTCAAATTAAAATACATTATAAAATCTATCTTTTATGTAATTATTATATTAACTTATGCTCTTTTTAGTAATTTGCACATATAAAAGGTGTTTCTGATTACAACTATCCAAACACTCTCATTTTATTAGAATTATTTTTTCACAAAATTTATTCTTTAAAAAATTTATTCTTTCAAAAGCTATTCTTCAGAAAACTATTTTTCAAACCATGATTTGATTTCATCCAAACATTTTTTTTTTTCAGAGGAATGGATGAGGTGTGCTCAAAGAGAAGAGATCAGTTGCATTCAGTATTAAAAGCGGGAAAGAGAAAAAATGAAAAGACTGATGGGAATGGCCGAATGGGAGTGCTCTCCTGGGTAGAAAATAAAGGCGAAGAGAGAGGAAAGCTAAAAATAATTAAAAAAATTATTGGGTCAGGTGAGAAAAGAAAGAAAAAGGGAAAATAAAAAAAATTTTCATAGCATATTATTTTTATAATTAAGATATGAATATTTTTATTCATTTTAATTACTACCCGTTTGATTCTGAATTAACCCTGATCTAACCTATTGAACCTTAAACTAATATCTCAACTAGTTTATTAGCCGGTCCCATTTTTGGAACCTTGTGTATTAGGGAGTCTCTGGCCTCAGCATTGAGCCATTTGTTCCTGTAAGAAATTAGGTCCTGTTTCGGGATCTCTGCCACAACTCTGCTTAAAAAGTTCCGAAGGAATGGCAATTTAGTGAAGATGTAAAAGAAACAAAAACAAAAACAAAAAAAACTTGGTTTCTCCTCCTAATACCCTCCTTGGTTAATACATTTTACGAGAACTGTTAACATATGCATTTTGATTGTCAACGAGGGTTGTTGCCATTGCAAACGTCATGATTTGGTTTTTGATACCTAATTCTATTAATTTGATTTATAGGGTTTTATTTGAAGGTTTGTTTTTTTAAGTAGTAAACGTAACATATTTTTCACTTTGCTATGATAATTTAAAATAATTTTATTGTGAATATGAAATTAGTC